ATGTCCTCTTTTTTAAAAAAAAAATTGTTTCTTTTTCTTAGCTGATTTTTTTGTTTTTTTCATGTAATATATTTTGATTGTATTGAGATTCCCTTACTACTCCCTGCTCAATTTGATCTACTCTATTATAAAATAAGTCCTATAGAGTCTATTTTGTGTCACCAAATGTCCTTCAGTGAACCAACACCCATATACTCTTGGTATGGGATATATATTGGAGTATAGTCTATTTGCCAGGGGTCACACCTTTAAAAGAAAACTAACTTTCCTTCCCCCAGAAGCCATCACCTGTCTGTAGTTTCTCAGTGATGGTAACTTGTGATCTCCTTCTTACTCCATGCTTGAACATTGACAGGCTTGATCGTGTGCAGGTCTTGTGTAGGCATCCACAGCTGCTGTGAATTCGTGAGTGTAGCTAGCCTGTCAGGTATCAAACATTGATTTGCTTAGGTCCTCCTTGACCTCTGGCTCTTAGAACAACCCTTCCCCTTTTTCTACAATAGTCCTCGAGTTAGGGAAGAAGTGTGATATAGATATCTCATTTATAACTGAGCACTCCATTGAAACTTTTTCTCACCACTTTGAGCAGTTACGAGTCTCTGCATTAATCACTATCTACTGCACAAGGAAAATTCTCTGATAAAGTCTGAGAGCTGCCTTAATCTATAGGTCTAGAGATGAATTTAGAGGATAATTTGATATTATGTCCATTTAGAAGAATAATAGTAGTAGGTTCACCCCGGACTCCCTAAACATGGGTTTCTGGCCAGGTTTACAGTACCAGGCATGTGTTTCCTCTGTCCAGTGGGCCCTAAATTCAGTCAGAAAATGATTGGTTACTCCCATAAGGATCCTGCCACAATTGTACCCATGGTTGTACCTTAACATGCTAGTGATTGTTATAGTTCACAGGGTTCATAGCAGGGTAAGACTGTTGGTGTCTTATGTCCCCCAACAGCCTATGACCTTCCAGTACTATGAAGCAGGGAAGAAGCTTCCTGGGCAGTACCAACTTGATCCCCCCGTTCCTTTAAGATCATCTTCTTGCCCCTCCCCCCACCAATGGTCCCTTTCTAGTTCCCTGGATTCTACAAGTACTCCACATTCAACACAGAGCTCCATATATGAATGAGAACATGTGACAGTCATCTTCCTGGGTCTGGGTTATTGTACTATCATGTTTTCCAGTTCCATTCATTTGCCTGCAGATTTCGTAGTTTGATTTTTCTTTACAGCTGAATAAAATTCCAATATATATCAATACCACATTTTCATTGTCCGTTCATTAGTTGATGATCATCTAGGTTATTTCCATGTCCTAGCTATTGGAGTAGAGCAGCTGTGAACATGGAGGAGCACGTGTCTCTGCAGTAGGACACAGATTTCTTTGGGCTCAGGAATGGTGTAGCTGGATCATGTGACAGTTCTGTGTTTAGTTTTTTTGGGAACTTCCACCCTTATTTACACAGTGGCTACACCAGTTTGTGCTCTCATTAATACTGCATGAAAGTTCCTCATTCCCCACATCTGCACCAGCATTTGTTGTTTTGTTTTCCTAATCTTAGCAATTCTGACTGGGGTGACATGAAATCTCAAAGTAGTTTTAATTTGTGTTTCCCTGAGGTTAAGGGTGATAATCACTTTCCAAGTATTTCTTTTTTAAATTTTTATTGAATTTTTGTGTATTTCATGCACAAAATCTTAATTATCTTTACTCTTCCCTCTTCACTGGCACCCTACCATACCCCCCCCCACTTGAATTCATACATTCTATCCTTTGTCTTAAGGCCCATCAAGTTAGTGATAGTGTCCCTAGATGTCCCTCAGTACGGGTTTATCCACTGAGGTCTAATCAGCTCTAAGTCTAGAGTCCCTCCCTTTAAGAAGATCAGCTCTTCCTCACCCAGCAGTAATCAGCTGCCAATAATTCTTTGATTAAGATTGTGGCCTCCTGTCCATTTCCACAGTTCTGTGTTGCGTTTTTGTCTGCTTGAGTTTACTTAGGTCTGGTGCATGCTGACACCATTGCTGTAGGTTCGTAGGAGAAGTATCCAGTAGCCTTTTAGGATGCTATTTCCATATGATCATGTATCTGCTCCCTGACTCTTAGAATCTTTCCACCCTCTCTTCTGAAATGATCCCTGAGCACTGGGTGGGTAGATTTTCATACAAGAGTCCTGTCCAAGGATGCATACTCTGTAGACTCTTATTCTCTATGTTTTGGCCATTTGTGACCTTTTTTCTTAACCATTTGTATTTCTTCTTCTGGGAACTGTTTGGTCCCACTTTTTAATTAGGATTTTTTTTTTTTTGATACTTAGCTTTTTTGAGTTCCTTGTATATTGTGAACACTAATCCTCTGTGAGATGCTTATCTACCAAATTTTTTTTGCCATTCTATAGGCTGCCTCTTCAATCAGTTAACAGTTTCCTTTTCTGTACAAAAGCTTTTTAATTTCATGAAGATCCACTTATATATATCCTGGGTGGCCAGAGACCTATTGAGAAAATCCTTACCTGAGCCTCGATCCTGAAGTGTTCTTGCTACTTTTTCTCCTGGATGTTTCAGTTTCGGGTATAATACTGAGGTCTTTCATCCATTTGAAATTGATTTTTGTGCAGGGTGATTGTTCTAGTTTGGTTTCAGTTGCTTGGTAAGGAAAGAGTTTATTTGACTCTCATCTTCTGGGTCACAGTTCATCACTGAGAGAGTCCAAGGTAGGAACTCAGGGCAGGAACCTGGAGGCAGGAACTGAAGCACACACAGACCATGGAGGAATGCTGCTTTTACTGACTTGTTCTTCTGGCCCACACTGAACATGCTTTCTTACACAATACAGAATAAGTTGCCTAGGGGTGGCACCACCCACAGTGGACTGGGCCCTCCCACATCATTCAAATCAACAAAATACCCCACAGACATGGCCACAGGCCAGTCCAATTGAGACAGTTCTCCACCTAGGTATGTTAAGTTGATAACGAAAGCTATCCGGCACAGTGATAGACAAGGGTCAAGTTTCATTCTTCTGCAGATAGAGATCCAGTTTTTCCAGTACCATTTATTAAAGATGCTGTCTTGTCTCCAGTGTCTGTTTTTGGCATCTCTGTAAAAAAAATCAAGTGACTGTAGGTGCATGGACTTAAACTACTATGGCTCTGTAGTATAGTTTGAATCAGGAATGGTGATACAGAACAGTGTTTTTATTGATCAGGACCATTTTGGACATCCAGGGTCTTTTGTGCTTGCTTATGAATTTTAAGATTTTTTTGCCATTTCTGTGAAGAATTGTGTTGTAATTTTGATAGGGATTTCATTGAATCTCCAAATTGCTTTTGGTAGAATGGCTGTTTTTTAACAATATTAATCTTGCCAATCCATGTGCATGGGAGGTCTCTACATCTTCTAGTGTTTTCTTCAATTCTTTAAGTTTTTATTCTATGGGTCTTTTACTTCCTTGGTTAGGTTTATTTCAAGGACTGACTGACTGTTTGTGACTATTGTGATTGGGATTGTTTCTCTGATTTCTTTCATGGCTATCTTTGGTATATGGGAAGGCTCCTGATTTGGGTATGTTGATTTTTTTGGCCTGTCACTTTGCTGTAAGTGTTTATGAGGTCTAGGAGTTTTCTGGTGGAATCTTTGGGGTTTTTCATGGAGAGAATCTGTTCATCTGTAAATAGGAGATATGTTGACTTCTTTCTTTCCTATTTGTATCCTTTTTGTTTCCTTCTCTTAATGCTCTACGTAGGACTTTAGGTTAATATTGAATAGTAGTGGCAAAAGTGAGCATCCTTGCCCCGTTTGTGATCTTAGTAAAAATGCTTTGAGATTTTCTCCATTTAAGATTATAGTGGCTGTCTGTCATAGATAGCTTTTTTTTATATTGATGTATGGTCCTTCCATTTCATCCCTAGCCTCTTTAGGGTTTGCTTTTTTTTCCTTCTTTTTTTGAGACAGGGTCTCCCAGTAGTCCCAGCCGACTTAGAACTTGATAGGTAGACCAGGTTGGCCTTGAACTCACAGAGATCCACCTGCCTCTGCCTTCTGAGTGCTGGGATTAAAGGCATGCACCACCAAGCCTAGCACTTTTTTAAAAATCATGAATGAATATTGAATTTTGTCAAAGGCCTTTTCTATATCAATTGAATGACTGTGTGATTTCTATCCTTGAGTCCATTTATGTGGTGAATTGAATATACTGATTTACGTATATTGAGCCATCCATCCCTGTATCCCTGGAACAAAGCCAACTTGAGAACGGTGAATGGCCTTTTGGATGTGTTCTTGAATGAATACGGTATTTTGCATCTGTGTTTATCATGATACAGTTCTCTTTTTTGTTGTTGGATCTTAGTGGAAATGCTTTGAGTTTTTGGTTTTTGCTTTGTTTTGTTTTGGTTTAAGGGTAATACTTTGTATAAAGAACGAGGAAATGTCTTTTCTTTTTATAGTTTATGAAGTGATTTGCATAGTATTGGTATTTGTTAATTTGTATTAGTTGGTTAGAAATAACAGCTCATTAGTCTTAACTACCTGCTGGGGCTTTGAAGAATGATAGTCTAAAGGTATGTACAAATTGGGAATTAAAGGTGGTTAGAATTAGTTATGGCTCTAAAGAAGGTGTGCAGTTTCATGTCACGTAGAGTCAAAAGCTATAGAGCAAGCAGTCATTTCAGAAAAGAATGGATAAGTATAATTTGTCCAGCTTAATTTGTCCAGCTAAAGCCTTTTCAGATTTTTTTTTTTTATTCTGGCTCTCAAGGAAGGTTTATTCAGCCAATGTGTAAAATGCACAAAATGCACAGGGTGGTGGAATCACAGAAGATAATCATTTTAATGACAGCTAGAACTGATTACATTTTCAGTGGAGACATAGCAATGCAGGTGAGTACAATCAAAAGCATTGTGGTTGTGATTTAGAACATCATTGAAATAGTTTTGTTGCCTTTATGTTTTCTTAAATTGTACAACTTTTCCTTCCTTCTTCCTTGCCCTTCCAGAGGCTCTCCTTATAGAGAATCTCCTTTGGGTCATTTTGAAAGCTATGGAGGGACCCCCTTTTTCCAGGCTCAGAAGATGTTTGTAGATGTGCCAGAAAATGCAGTGGTATTGGATGAGCTTACCCTCAGGCACATGGTCCAGGATTGCACCGCTGTCAAAACTCAGCTACTCAAACTGAAACGCCTCTTACATCAGGTGAGTCTGTATGAATGATTCCATCTCCATTATCATTAAAGTTCCAAAATGGTTTGTCTTTTAAAGAAAGTTAGTTAGGTTTCTAGCATCTGTGTATTTTTCTGCAGAAATAAAGCCTATAAATAGTACATGCCCTCAGTTCATTTTCCAACACTATAAAACAAAACAAAAAAGTACATAATGAATATTTGTTAGAGAAAAAAAGGAAGCTTAATGTAGACTCAACATGTGTGCAATATATGGTAGCTGGCAAGCCTGTCTGTTTACGTCTGATTCCTAATTTTTATAAATATCCACATTGTAAGCTTGTCCAAAGAACTGGAAATTATTTTTGTTAATTGAACAGTCTAAATGCCAGAAACATAGTAGGCATTCAGTAACCAGTGGCTACTATAATTTCTGCTTAATGGGAAACAAGATTAATTGATTTTTGTTTGACACTTTCAAGTCTAGGTTATCTTCCTTAGGATTGTATGCCCTAACACCATATGAGCAGGGACCAAGTCTTAGGATTCCTATTGGTGATCAATACCAGACCCGTCTGTCTGCTCAGTAAAGACCAGCTGGGATAACAGGCTCCTAGCAGTTGACTGAGTACAAGTGTTTGTTAGTGCTGAACATTGTTTCCTATGTTCTAGTCAGTGTTTTTCTAGACTACTTATGTCTGTTGAGTTTCTTTTGAGAAGAAATCTTTCTGTGCTAAGGCTGGTGAAAAGTGTCCTTTTTGGATCTGGAATGCTTGGGCTCCTCCTAAGGCCTAAAGGATTCCATGAAGGAAATATTCAGACATTCCATTCCAGCTTAGATGAACTGTAACTAGTGGATAAGCTTTGTTCTGTAGTGTTTCTCTGCTGTAACTTTCAGAGGCCCACCCTTGTGGACCTACTTTTTCCAGTTAGGCCCCACCTCCTTGAGGGACATACTGGAGAGGAGTATGAAGGCAGGTCCTAATACCCTGTGTACCACCCACCTCTCCCTATCCCCTCAGCAAACCATGCAATGGAGTCTGTTTCATTTTTTCATGGTTCTCAGGCGTCAAACCCATGCATGGCCTTGCACTATGCCAGGCAGGTGCTCTACCACTGAGCTACACTGCCAGCTCTTGAAATCTGTTTTATCGAATGTCCTCTTTGTGAGTTCACTTGAAAAAAGTCCTTCTTCCATGTAAAATTTTAAGATTGTTGCCTGTTATATTTGGCTATTAACCTACTTGCTATTTGTTGTTATCTACCACTCAGGGTTACTTTATATCTTAAATAGGACTTTGTGTATCTCATTCTCCACCTCACAGCAGCAGTGTGTGGAACAGGAAGGACAGCAGCAGGAATCTCATTTCATTGGCCAGAAACTGCGACCTTGAGATTTGGTTGTGTCTTTCACGACCATCTATATGTGTATTAGTATAGAGTGCGTTTTGAAACCTAGGCCTTTGTATTATTTTAGGTTAATCCTTCTGTATGTTTATTGCCTGATTTATGGATTTTGATGAAATTTTAAAATCCTGAACTGAAAAATATGGGGATATAATGTAAAAATTATGAAGCTGTCTTATCTTTAATTCCTTACAGCCTCCTTCAAAAGCTTTTGATTGAAACATAGTTCAAATACATAAATGTTTACCTCATTGAATTTTCACAAACTGGAATATCTAGCTAGTACCCAGTCAGAAGCAGAACATTCAGAGAAAGGAAGTGCCTTTAGTTAGTAACATGTTTTTCTAATTAGGTTTCTGAATAAATAGATTTGTTTGGTTGTATTTGAAATGAAGTGAAGCTGTGTAGCAATCACATCTGTATTCTTTTGGTTAGTATTGAGAGTCTCCTTTGCACTCATTACTGTGGAGTCCTGCATTGTAGAAGTATTTCATTGTCTTGACAGTTGATACACATTGGGCAGATTTCCAGTTTGGGGTTTTTATGAACAGTGCCACCACAATATTCCAACATATGTCTTTTGATGAACATATTTGTACATTTCCTTTTTTATATGCCTTTGAGTGAATTATTGGGCCAGTCATCAACTGTGTAGAGATCCAGCCTTAGTAGAGCTTACGGTTTTCCAGAATGGTTGTACACATCCCCTCACTTTTTCCTCATTTATTTCCATTGGTTCCCCTTTTGCTTTCATCATATATCAGATTCAGCGTCTGCTCTGACCTCTAGGAAATGAGGAATTTAAGATTGATTCATGGCAAAACATCATAATACTTCTTTGTGACATTTTATTTGGGCTGCAGAATATTTGGTTCCTGTGATTCATGTCCTGTCTCCTTCAGGATGCTTGTCTTGGGCATCAAAATAAATATATATTAGTGTTTATGAAATGCTAAATGTGATATATAACTATTTTGTTCCATTATTTCCTGTCACTCCTGTATTGGGGACAAAACAAGTAATTATTTTCTCTCACTTAATTCTCTCCTCCCTCAGTTTGTGTTTCTGTTGCTTGTGTATGAATGAACCACAGGCATGTGCATGTAAGAGTAGGGAGAGGGAATGTTGAAAGCAGCAGAACCCCTAAGCTAAAAGCAGATGAATGATTGATTTCTGCTTTGTGGCAGAGAATCACAGATAGGGGTGGGGAGGAAGGAGGACAAGGAGGGGAGGGGAGGGGAGGGAAAGGGAGAAAGAAAAGGAAGGAATTTTTTTGTTCATAGATAGAATGGCAGTGGAGAAATTGAAAGTATAAAATAGAGCTAAGCATACATCATCCTCAAAGAAAATGTTTAAAGAAAGCAAAGAAAAACACAGCACAATTTCATTAATACAAGTTCAGTCTTTCTGAACTTGGCCTCTTTAGCAAAACTCAATATTTACCTGAATATAAGCGTAAATGATAAAACTTGTCACCTTGCTGTTCTTATCACTCCATGAAAAAAAGCATATATGAATATCATGTATGTATGTGTGTATGTATGTATGTATGTATGTATGATGTGCAGCATAAGGGTTCAAACTCCAAATAATGGAAACAGCGTTGCACTCATTACCCAGGTTAAGAAATGAGACATTAATAAGGTCCCTGTGTGCTCTTCCTGATTGCAGTACTGTCCTTCCCAAAATCTAGTTTTTCCTACAAGCTTTTTGTGTGCTGGTCTTCTTCCCTGTCCCCTTCCCAGCTTCCCCTCTTCCAGCCCTTCTTCCCCTTTCCTTTTTGAGACAGAGTCTCATTATGTAGCCCAGGCTGACCTGGAGTTCACAGTTTTCCTACTGTGATTACAGTGTGCTCCATCTTCCCTAGTTCCTATTTCTTTTCTTTTTCTGTGACAAATGCTGTTGTTTCAAACGATATGTTGGTAAATTTCTTTAGTTTTCCATTTTTCAGCAATATTTTATAGATTTTTTTTAGTTTTATTAAATTACTTCTAGCACCTGAAGTTTTTGATGCTGTTTTGTAAGTGATACCTTTTGTTGTTGTTGTTCTATTTCTCCTTGAGAACAGGGTCTTATTATATAGCCCAGGCTGGTCTTGAATTCACTATGAGGACCAGGTTGGCCTTGAACTCAAGATCCTTATACCTCAGCCTCCTGAGTACTCGATTTATAGGCATGTACCATTTGCATATAGCAAATGATGGCTTGTGCTATATTTTTTAACAGATTATTGTTGGCTTGTATGAATGAAGTAAGCCTTTGTATTGATTCTTGTATTCAGCAACCTTATTATAATTGTTATTAGTTTTAATAATTTATCAGGAGATTTCTTAAATTAAAATTTTATATAGCTACCCTGCCCCTCCTCCCATATTTGTGTTGTTTTGGGGTTTAACATTGGCCAGGAATTGCTCCTTCCTTACTTGAGAAATTTATAGGAATGCCTTTAATGTTTGTTAACTGTAATGTTGTCTATATATTGTTGATAACATTTATGAGACAGGAAAATTTGTTTTTATTTTAATGTTTGCTTTTTGAATCTCTTTTCTTGGCATTCATGAGGGTCAGTCCCTGTACAAGCCCATGTATTATAGTGCCACTTCCTACTGGCCAGGGCATGCTTGAGATCATTTTGGCTATTAGGTATTTTTGTGGTTCCATATAAATTATAGATTGATATTTCTAATTCTCTGAAGGATGTCTCTGGTATTTTGTTCAGGATTTTATTGAATCTCTGTGTTGCTGTGAGTTGAGAATTGTCCATTGCTTGCATGGCTCACAATGCTTTGTAGATGCCCAAAGGTAATTCTAATTGCTTCAAGGTCTTTTCACAGACTGCTGCTCTGTCATTTGCCTGTGTTCAAGGACTTTTGAATGCCAGAGATTGTGGGCCTTATTGAAGTTAAAATGAAAGAGAACCTAATTTTTTGTCCTGTGTCTCAGTGCATTAGTCTTAAAACTATAGACTAAAAGTAGCTGCTGAATCATGAAATGAGTTTTGTTCATTATGATTAGTGTTATGTAATGAAGTAAAACAGTGCAAGACTATTAGAGGTCATTACATGTAATAACAATAAATACTGTCCAATGAGATTTGTACATATGTACATATACAGATACATGTATATACACATATTTTTGTACATATTCATGTATGCATGTGTGATCTACCTGGGTGTAATGGGAAATCATTTCATTTTGTGGATCATGTCCTCTGCTTCACAAAAAATGTGAGTTTCAGTTAGTTAAACAGTAGTATACACAAGACCTCAAATATAATAAATGATAAAACTGGGATTTAAATTACGAATAATAGAAATATTGCTGCATCAATAAAACTAAATCATCAGTAAATCTATAGAGTGATATTTGTGATATTTTATAAATAAAATTGTGTAGAAAATGTTTATGTTCTGTAGGAAGGTTGACTATTTAATCATTATTTAATTCATAGATATTAAGTGTTTAATCAAAATGGCAGCTTATAGTTTAGGCAGACATACAAGGATTAAATAGACGAAAGATGTGTTACAAAGGGTAGCAAATTATGTGATGTATAAAACATCTATAAGATGCATTCTGAGGCATATTATGTGTGTACAGTTCTTCCCTGTACTATTTATAGAA